CCTAAGCCAGCAGGTCGTTATCTCTCGAGGGGTCCCAGACTGTGAGAGGGCACAAGTGGGGCTGAGGGACACCCCCGCACCTGCCAGTGCACAAATTTTTGTGCACCGGGCCTCTAGTATATATATATAAAATAAATTTAAAAAATGCAGTTTACTTCATATATAACTTTTTGTGTGTGTACACAGTATGAGCTCTTCAACACCAAAAAGTATTATAGCTTTTCAAACTGGAAAAGAAAAGGCAACGGTAGCATCGGATTTTCATTTCTAATAAGGTAAATATTGATAGCCATAACCCATCTAACCAAAAAGCTCTTTGGGATTCTCAATAATTTATTAAAAGAGTAAAGTATTCTAGAGTCCAGAAAGTAAACTACAATAGACAATCCCGCTTTGATAGGTCCATTTCTTGGACTGGCCTCATAAAGAGCCATTGTTATGAAATTTCAAGCCTCTTTTTAAGTCCCTGGCTGGGCCCACATTATGTTGTTTTTATAGCTCAAGAAGCTGGTTTTAATGACAGGAAGAAATCTGACCCAAGTTTCTCATTGACATGATGAGGTTTTTGTCTATTTTGTTATTTATTTTTCGTTTTCCCCTTTTTTCTTTACTCTTTTTCTTTTTTCTCATTTTTTTCCTTTTTAAACTTCTTTTTATCATTTTTATTTTATTTGGTTTGTTAGTGTTTGTTGTTATTTTTATATTTGGTTGGCACTGTGTTTTGATTCCATTATAAAGATCAGTTCATCAGGTGGATTCAGGAAGTGTCTTTCTTTTGAGATGATTTGGGCCAAGCTTCTCACCAGCTTTTTCTAATTTTAAGTTCACCTTGGGACACCTTAACTCTAAGGTCAGCAGTAAGGCCAACACACTGTAATCAAAACAGCCCTGTGCTGGCACAGAAACAGCCATATAGATCAATAGAACAGAACAGAGAACCCAGAAATCAACCCAAGCTATTATGCTTAACTAATATTTGACAAAGGAGGCAAGAGCATACAATGGAGTAAAGACAGTCTCTTCAATAAATGGTATTAGGATAATTGGACAGGAACATGCAAAAAAAAATTAAATCATACTGCCAACGTACATCATACACAAGAATAAACTCAAAATGGAAAAAAAAATTAAATGTTTAGTTGTGAAACCATAAACATCCTAGAAGAAAACATAGAATTTTCACTGATACAATGAGACAGCATAGAGGGACCTAGAGATGATTATGCACACTGAAATAAGCCAATCAGAGAAAGACAAGTATCTCATAATCTCAGTTATATGTAGAATGTAATGAACAAAAAATAAACCTGACAAACAAAATAGAGCCAGAAATAAGGAAGAATGCAACAAACTGAGGATTCTTGCGGGGATGGGGTAGGGGAGGGGGAAGAGTTTAACCAAAGAATTTATATGCATATATGCATAACCCATGGAGACAGACAATAGGATGGTGAAGGCCTGGGGTGGGGGGCAGGAGTGGGGAGGAGGGGGTCAATTGGGGATAAAAGAAGGGTCATCTGTAATACTTTTAACAATAAAGATGAATTTTTTAAAAGATACCTGCCTCCCTACCCCCACCCAACTGATGTGGAGTTTTAATGCAATTCCAAGAAAACTTCAAGAATTTTCTTTTGTGGAACTTGACTCATGGATGTTAAAGTTTACATACAAGAGCAAAGTGCCAAAAAGAACTCTTCCTGAAGAAGAACACAATTGGGAGGATTTAATAATTAAGACAGAGTGATATATGTGGAGGGATAAACAAACAGCACCCAAAAACTATGCTATAATTGCTATTGATATTTTCTCTTAAAACCACTGTAATGAGGCTTTGCCTCCATCACTGCATTAAAACTTCTCTTCAAGTCATCAATGATCTTGACAATAACCTAGATCCAATCATTAACTCTCAGTCCTCATCTAATTTAATGTATTTTCTCACTTGCTATTCTCTCTTGACTTGATTTCTGGGACACCACATTCTCATTCTCTCTCTCTCTCTCTCTCTCTCTCTCTCTCTCTCCTGTTTCTTTAATGGTCACTTCTTTGTCTTCTTTGCTCCTTCTCCCTGAACTCTTAAGGCTGGAATTTCCCATGGCTCAATCTTCAGTTCTCTTCCCTTTTCTCCTCTATATACATTCAGTTTCTTGGGCCATCCATTCTCAAAGTCTAATACCATCTCTATGTCCATGAGTCCCAGATTCATATACCCAACCCAGACTAGACTTGGATATCAAACTGCCTACTTGACATCTCCACTTGGATGTCTGATATCTCAAAAGTAGCAGGTCCCAAACTGAACTTCTGATCTTTGCCACCAACCCAACCAATCAGGTCAAAAATGTTATAGTTATCCTGACTCCTCTTTTTCTTTCACACCCCATGTAGAATCTATCAGGGACTCCTGTTGACTACCTTCAAAATATACCCAGAATCTGAACTACTTCTCACTACCTCCATTGCTACCACCTGAGTTTGAAGCACCCTAAGTTCTTCCCTGGATTATCATGACAGTAAGGATCTTGCTTCCAACCTTGTTCCCTTGTAATCTATTTTCCACAGAGTGATCCTTTATTTATTTTTTGTTTGTTTGTTTATTTACTTCCTTACCCAAGGACATACTTTTATTGATCTTAGAGAGAAAGGAAGGGAGAAAGAGGAAGAGAGAGAAACATTGGCTGCCTCCTGTACATGCCCTGTTCGAACCTGAAACCTGGGTATGTGCCCTGACCGGGAATCGAACCCGAGACCTTCCCATGTATGGGATGACACTTCAACCAACTGAGCCACACCAGCCAGGGCAAGAGTGATCCTTTAAAAACAAAACAGAGATTTTGTAAATTTTAATTATGTAGATGAGCAATGAATGAATGAACAAATAAATAAGTATTGTTCCATAGCTCAATCCCAGTTTAATGTACACAGGATATCCTTCAATTGGCCATCAATGAACAAGTCAGGTTTATATAAAGCCTCATCCAACTTTAGTACCTTCCACAACTTGGCAGTGGGTGAGGGTAGAAGAAAGATCTTCGGGTAAACATCGTAAATACCTGCCTAACCTCAGCCGCTAAATTGAATTTCCTATCCTAGGCATCAACAGTACAGTATTACTTGGAAAGGTACAATTGAGGTACAAATATAAGTGCCTGCTATTTATCAAACCATACCATTCTTTTTTTCACCAAGAGCTAAATGGGTTGTAGCATTTGCTGTCATTGAAATATGTTTTGAATTTTTCAAGAACTGCTTCCTAAAGTCTGGCTATTTTATTTATAAACATTTTTACCTTGCCCCAACCGGTTTGGCTCAGTGGATAGAGCGTCGTGACTCATTTAGGATTGCTGTTTCTTTGCTGATTTTTTGTCTAGAGGATTTATCCAGTTATGTCAGTGGGGTATTAACATCCCCTACTATGATTGTATTGTTGTTGATCTCTCCCTCCATATCTTCCAGGAGGTTTTTTTATGTATTTGGGTGCTCCTGCATTGGGTGCATATATGTTTACCAGGGTTATATCCTCTTGTTGTATTGATCCCTTTAGTATTATGAAGTGGCCTTCCTTATCTCTTGTTATGGCCTTCACTTTGAGGTCTATTTTGTCCAATATAAGTATTGCTACCCCAGCTTTTTTTTTCATTTCCATTTGCCTGAAAGATATTTTTCCATCCCTTCACTTTCATTCTGTGTGAGTCTCTTATTCTGAGGTGGGTCTCTTATAGACATCATATATATGGGTCGTGTTTTTTTATCCATTCAGCCACTTTTGATTGGAGCATTTAGTTGGTTTATGTTTAAAGTTATTATTGATAGGTACTTGTGTGTGGCCATTTTTATTTTTTATGCCTGTGTTCCTTCTTCCCTTTTGATTTCTTATTTTTATACCAGTCCCTTCAGCATTTCTTGCATTGCGGGTTTGGTAGTGATAAACTCCCTTTGCTTTTTTTTTTTTTGCCTGTGAAGCTGCTTATTTCACTTTTCTGAAGCTGCCGTTTGCCTTTGAACCCAGTGTGTATTGCCCATCACCCAGGAATTTAGAAAATAACAACACAAAAATCGTGCCCACTAAGTTTTTCTGACATTTGCTTTTTGTTCTTTACTTGGAAATTCCACTGATATTTCCAAGTAAAGAACAATGAAAGTATTTTCAAGGAGAAAATTACAAACCAAGGGATTTACATGAAAAAGTAGCAAATATTTTTAAAATGTAATTTTGTGCAAAAACAAGCTAAAATGTGTTGAGGCTTTTCTTCTGTGTCCCTTGCATTGTTAGACATCGTTGTATCCTTAGACGTTTCAAATTAGTAACTTTCTTGACCCTGACTTTGTGGATTCTTCCTGTCACCTCGCTGCACAATGTTCCTATTTAAACGAAGAGCTGTAAATGAACTCCTCACATGACCGAGAAATGCGGTCCCAGCTCTTTGAAAATGTAATCAATGTGGATCACAATCCCATTCTGTGTGTCTGCAGACTTGGAGTGACACTGATTTCCCCCCGGAAAAAATGCGGTCAGTCTGTAGTCTTGTGCCTGTGAAAGTGTGGTTGCAGCACGTGTTCAGAATGTGTTTCTGCTTTACAAAGAAAAGACCCAAACTACCAGCCTTTTTCACTCCTGATGAAGTGTGTCTAGAGGCGGCTGGGGAGACGTGAAAGGTCTGAACAAAGGCTGTCTACCGTCCAGGGTTCTAGGCATCATGGGGAGGATGGAGGTATACATAAAAGAAGAATCTTAAGTGAGGTCCGTGTCCAGGGAGGCCTCGTCGGATTTCCTGCAACAGCCTCTTGAGAAAGAATCAGGCAGCGAGCCCTGCGTAGAGAAGAACTCATTTAAATTCCCTTCCTTTTGCTTTTCCAGTTGCCGCCGCACTTGCAGCTGACCATCCTCCAGAGCCCAGCGCATCCAGGAGGCAGGAGGACCACAGCGGGCGCCCGGGCGGGGCGAGTGCCACTCACCTCCCAGCCCCGCCCTCCCGGACCGACGGCCTTTAAAGAGCGGAGGGAGCTGGGGTCCCGGGAAACGAGCGTCTGGGTGCAGCAGCGGTGGAGCGCACTACCATGTCCCTGCAGGTGAGCCGGAGGGTGGGCAGGCCGCGCTGGGGGACAGCTCCCCAGAGGGCAGTGCTGAGGGGACGTGGGGCGGACAGGACGCCCCCGAGGCGGCGGTGCATCTCGGACCCGGCGCTTTGGGCAGCTGCTGCCGGCGTCCTTGCCACCCGAGAGCGGTCCGCGCCAGGTCCGAACTGCACCCGAGGACGCTCCCACCCCTTCGCCAGCGCCCCCTTACTGCAGTGGAGACCACGCCGGCGCCGTTCTTCTGATGGCGAGCTGGGGCCCCTATGGCAACTCCTGTGAACCCCAGGGACTGGTTAAACGCTAAGTAGGCACCGGCCCCAGGGAGTTGGTCGCCGGGTGGATCGGGGAGGACAGCGTGGCCCTGCCCTGCCTCCTTCCTGGAGGTGGAGGCGAGGACGTTTGGGGTCTCACTCGCCCCCCTTTGCTTTTAGTACAAACAAGGGCTCTCTTGGGCAAGGGCAAATATCTGTAAAACGCAATTTAAAAATACCATTTTTTCTGTTATGTGAAAAATATATATGCTCAGGGTGAAAAGTTTTGGGAAAGAGAACAGATATAAAGTAAATAAAAAACCATCAGCCCTAGCCTGTTTGGCTCAGTGGATAGAGCGTCGGCCTGGGGAATGAAGGGTCCTGGGTTCGATTCCGGTCAAGGGCATGTACCTTGGTTTCGGGCACATCCCCAGTACGGAGTGTGCAGGAGGCAGCTGATCGATGTTTCTCTCTCATCGATGTTTCTAACTCTCTATCCCTCTCCCTTCCTCTCTGTAAAAAAATCAATGAAATATATTTTTAAAAAAAACAAAAAACAAACAAACAAAACCATCAGAAATTCCTCACCCAAGTGATCACTGCTGACTTAATACGTTACTTACGCATGTATGCCAAAAATATGTATGTGCACATGTATGTGTGCACCCAGGCATGCCCATGTGTATGTACCTATGTGCAAATATGTGGGTATATATAGACACTGATTATGCTATTATGTATATACATTTGTTCCTTTATGTAACACTATGTTACCAGCATTTTCTCATTATTAAATATTTTTCTAAAATATAATTTAAAAATATCTGCTTACAATTTCTTGGAATGAGCATGGCTCACTTCATTAACGATTCTTTAAGGAATATGTTATGGTGGGCAAAGGCACATCCTCCAGAGCCAGCCCATTTCAAACCCAAACCTCTCGCCTTCTTAGCCTGTGACATACTTAACCCCTCTGTGCCTCGTTTCCTCATCTAAAAATGGAGGAGAGGGATCGTTAAGGCTAAATTTGCTGCATGTATAGAGCATTTGAAAGTGACTGGCATGTGCTAAGTGTCCAATAAGGATAAGCATGTCCTTGAACCTTTAGATATTTTTCTCTTATGTGTGACATAATTCATATTGAACTTTCCCCCAAATAATCAAATCTTTCAATGTCAAAACTTTCTTCCTCTTTAGCTTAGTACTTTGCTTAGTTTTGCTTGGCAAAACACATGGTATTGCTGATTCAGCTATAACCTCAAATTTGTATTTTAGAATTACAATATGTTTACTTCTGCAGCAAAGTTTTTAGGCAAGCTGACAGTGGTGTGAACTTGGACATATTTCTTTCTTAGATGATGAAAATAAAAGGCAGACTGCTTCTTCAAGAAAACACATCTTTTTGAGCTAGGGAATTCATTATTTTACAATTGGCACACGTCTAACCCCTTTCCCTCCGCACACACCTTTGTGCAGTTTGATCTTCCTAATTCAGTTTCTCAGTGGGAACGGACTGCTCACAAAGGCATTATCAACACCATATGCAGTGACCATGTTCTTTGGCTGCAGAAAGTAAAGTTAGAGTAGGTGAGAGTCACCCTCGGGGGCTGTCTTCAGGAGATTTCCACAGAGGCCAGGGTGGTCAGTGCTCCTAGGTAGTAAAAGACTGTGTCCATCTCCAGGAAGGCAGGATGCACCCACTGTGAGAGACAGTAGGGAACTGCTACCACCAGGGGTGTGGCCAGGGGTCCTTGTGGTGAACACAGGAGCAGGAAAGGGTCTGGGGAGAGGCCTGAATGCAGTTGTTTCAAAGACTCCCCACCACAGTTGCCAGGGAATGAGGCACATGTGCATTCATCCAGGATGTTAAGGACTGGGCTCATCCAGGACAGTCAGCTCCGATGAGGCAGAAATTCTTCACTGACAGCAGCGAGCCCAGCTCCACAGAAGCACGGGAATATTACTAAACATTCCCCTTTGCCCAGAGTACTTTAGAATTCAATGTAAACAGCTGTATATTTAAAGCTGCTTCTCACCTATGGCAACTTTCAGACCCCCCTCATATCCACTCACGTAGTCATTTACTCAATAAGGAGCGCACACAGGCTGTACCACTTGCCAGCACTCTGTAAGGCACGGCTCTTGCTACCAAGATGAATATTTATGTCTGCCCTCTATTGTGGATCTATGAGGGAACAAACATATACAGTCCCACCCAGCCTTTATGTTGAGCCCTGATAATTGCTGTCCATGCTGCCTGCAACCCCTCCCTGTTCCAGACCATCCCACAAGCACTGACCTCCAGCTCAGCTCAGCTCTATCTCCTCTGGGAAGGATTCTCCTGCCCCTACTGCTATTCCCTCCTCTTTGTTCCCAGAGCACCCAAATATCACATGATCATTATTGACCTGCTCATCTCCCAGGGGTCCCTGAGCTCCTTGAGAACTGGCTGCCCTGTTCATCACTGGCTGCCTAGCCAATACGTGTGTTAAATAGTATGTTTCAGGTAATGAGCTCTGGCAGGCAGAATCAACAGAATAAAATAAAAATATTTACATTCTTAATTGTATTTAACCCTAACACCTCCCTGCTTTAGATTGATAGGATCTTTTTTTCAGCAAAAGCCGAGTCTCAGAGGAGCCTTGGTGCTTGCGCAGAATCCCATAGCAGTGTGTCTCTCACAGTGTTCCTTGCACTGGAGCTCATCATGGCTGGATGGGAAAGTCCTCAGAGAGGAGGGCACATGGGAGCCACACTGTAGAGCAGGACTGTACCAAGTCAGGGTGCCAGGGAAGGGCGTGCTGGAAAGAGAAGGATCCTGGGCCCTGCTCTGGAATGGGTTTCTCTACCTGGGGAGGGAGGAGGGACAAGGACCCCTGACACTGCCTGTGAAACTGTGTCCGGGGCTGAACTCCTCTGTGGAGAGGGTCTGAGATATCCATTAGCCTGTCCATAATATGAAGAACAATTTTTCAGAAACTTCTTCCTAGAAGGCAGGTACCGAGCCTTAGAATTCTAATCAAGGTTTGTCTTGCCAAAAGCAATTGAGTTGCTGTTACTGGAAAAGGGCATGAAACTTCACAACGGGACACCGGAGACTCCTGGTAAGCCGAAGGGGAAGAACCCCACGCCTCTCTGAATAGCCCTGCCCTGTCTTGCCCTTACGAAGTCCCACCATTATTGTAGCGTTTTTAGGTTGTCCTAATTATAGACACAATATATGCACATTATAGAAGATTTGGAGAGTATAGAAAGTATTAAAACAACCAGAAAACGTACCAGTAATCAAAGGTAATTTTTACATATTTTATTATATTTCTTTCTAGTCTTTATTTTTTCCATATTACTTACAAAGCTGAGTGTATGAAAACAATTTTGTATTCTTTGTTAAATTATTTTTTAAAAGTATTTTTCATGTCTTGCTTCATTGTGAATACTTTTTTCAGTTTTTTTTCTAGGACTAGTTTATTTTTCCTCAAAGAGTCTTGTAATAAAAATAATAGTAGTTAAACTTTACTGACCACTCACTATGTGCCAGGCACTATTTTGAATATTTTACATGTGCTAACTTATTTAAATCTGCCTAACAACCTTGTAGATAGGTGGTGTTATTGGCCCATATTCCAGATGAAGAAACAGGGGTTAAGTAACTTGCCCAAGGTCACACAGCTCTGAAGTGGTGAAGCTTAGATTCAAACCACTCAAGTCCAGCTCAAGTCTGTGTTCTTAACCATGATGTTATGTATAATGGAACTGACAGTTTCCTAGAAATATTCAGGAAGATGAGGCAGGGGTTTGTCCCTTGTCACATAGACCCATGGTTCTCAGATTCCTGGAATAATTGGGGTCATTTTCAAGGTTATTTAGGTTGGAGACTCTGGTCTCCCATTTGCAAGGGATTTTTGTTCATTACAAAACAACTATTCAGTTGTGCTACTGTCCTGTCTTTGGTGCTGGATAGAAATTTTATCTAGCAGCTCTGCTGAGATAACTGGGGTTCTGAAATTACAGTGGGGCTATCTTCTTTCTCTGCCAGGCATTTGGTTCTTTGGGTTTGGAGAAAGAAAATGCAGGGTGGGGATAGAATGCCTCACTGAGACTGTCGTGTTTGATACTCGACAATTACTGCTTATCCCAGGTTTAAAACAAATAACATTAGGTAAAATATAGTCTATTAAAAAATAGAATGGGAAACTTCCAGTAAAGATGATGGCTTAGCCCAGCCATCGTGGCTCAGTGGTTGAGCATTGAGCTACGAACCAGGAGGTCACGGTTCGATTCCCGGTCAGGGCACATGACTGGGTTGCGGGCTCGATCCCCAGTAGGGAGCATGCGGGAGGCAGCCAATCAATTATTCTCTCTCATCATTGATGTTTCTATCTTTCTCTCCCTGTCCTTGCCTCTCTGAAATCAATTAAAAAAAAAAAGATGGTGGCTTAGGTAAACACTTGCCTCCTTCCACAGCCACATCAGAATTAAAACTAAACTACACAACAATCATTATTCAGAACTGCCTGAAATCTGGCTGAATGGAAGTCCTACAACTAGGAAATGAAAGAAGAAACACATAGAGACTGGTAGGAGGGGCAGAGATGTGAGGACTGGTCCCACACCCACATATGGCAGATAAAAATTGGGAGGGATCTCTCTGCTGCAGAGGTCCCCCCTGAGGAGCGAGGGGCCCCAACCCCACTCCAAGCTCCCAGCTCAGGGTTCCATTGCCAGGAAGAGTAGTCCTTATAA